CTCCTCACAAACCTATACCCACCCCACCACACACACACACCCACAATATACAAGAGTAAGACTTCATTTTAAGCTTTCGTGCAATCACCTCCATGTACACTACATAAACGCATGTAAATCTGGACAAAAATATTTTTTGAAATCAAATTAGTGTTGCAGATGTTTGATTTTTAGAATATAACTTGGCATTTTTCTGGTTCTGAGATGGCAAAACACCTTGCTGAAAGGAATATTTCCGAGGGGAAGGGGAGGGACTTCTGGTGGCAAATGTTAGGGGGTAGGACTTATGGTCACAAGATGGTGACCAGAGGGTGGGGGTACCTGTCAAGGGGTAGAGCTACCCATGCGCCCCTCAACAGCTTGCCAAAACTTGGTAAGTGGCCCTCCTCCCGAAATAATTGCCTGCCTGTGATCTGGAAGATGGGATGGATTGCACCCTAAGCAAATTCGTGGGTGTCACCAAGCTGGGGGGAGTAGTGGATACACTGGAGGGTAGGGCCAGGATTCAGATTGACCTAAACAGATTGGAGGATTGGGCCAAAAGAAATCTCATAAGGTTCAACAAGGACAAGTTCAGAGTCCTGCACTTAACATAAAATAGTCCCATGCACCAGTACAGACTGGGGGCTGACTGGCTGGGCAGCAGCTCTGCAGAAAAGGATGTGGGGGTTAAAGTGGATAATAAGCCGAATATAAGCCAACAGCATGTCCTTTTCGCCAAACAGACTAACAGCATACTGAGCTGCATTAGTAGGAGCATTGCCAGCAGATCGAGGGAAGTAATTATGCCCCTCTATTCTGCACTGGTGAAGCCACATCTGGAGTTCTGTGTTCAGTTTTGGGCCCCCTGCTACAAAAAGGATGCGGACAAATTGGGGGGAGGCCAGCAGAGGGCAATGAAAATGGTTTGGGGGTGGAGGCACATGACTTACAAGAAGAGGCTGAGGGAACAGGGGTTATTTAGCCTGCAGAAGAGAAGACTGAGAGGGGGTTTGATAGCAGCCTCTAACTACCTGAAGGGTGGTTAAGGATGGAGCTAGACTGTTCTCAGTGGTGGCAGATGACAGAACAAGGAGCAGTGGTCTCAAGTTTAAGCAAGGGAAGTTTAGGTTGGATATTAGGAAAAACTTTCTCATTAAATTAATTGGCCTAAAGAGGGTGGTGAAGCACTGGAACAGGTTACTGAGAGAGATGGTAGAATCTCCATCTTTGGAGGTTTTTAATGCCTGGCTCGATTAAAGCCCTATCTGGAATGATCTATTTGGGGATGGTCCTGCTTTCAGTAGTGGGTTTAACTACATGACCTCCTGAGGTCCCTTCCAATCCTAATTTTCTATGATTCTATAATTTAAATAATTGGGGGAGAAAGAAATGCAACAAAAGCCGTGTTACCTGGCACTTTAGCAACTAGAAAGCTCCACTAACTGGCATCTGTCAATATGAATCTTCCTTAGAAGGGATGTAGCAAAAGCGAAACCAGAAGTTTCACTTCTGGTTCTCCACCCCGAGCCGAGTCCTACTTCTTCCTTATGGACCATTGCCCGGGGCAAAGCAGCCTGTGTGGGGGCCCTCCCCCCCCGGTCTCCCAGCACACTGACGCCAGGGAGTGAAAGCCCTGGTGCACTGGACGTGGCATATTTGATTAACTGGCATCCCCCATTCCCGGGGGATGCTGGATAACAGAGCTTTTACTGTATTTCTTTCTTTACTCACATCGAGTAGGTGAGAAACATAACTGAAGTGAATGTATGGAACAAGCATAGTTAAGGCAGCATCAGGGGGTTCCATGCAGACATAATGACCACAATTTTAAGCAGAACATTCTCCGAGTAGGGAAAAACAGCACAGGTACTGCTGTTTTGTGGACAAGGGACCTCTTGCTGCTTGAGAGAGAGTTTTAGACGTAATACATTTGCTTCTAGCAGAAGCTCGTTTCTTCAGGTATCATTCAGTATCATTTAATACTTTCAGAAGAGAGTCTACTAAGAAAGGCATCCTCTTTCTTCCTATAGATTTCTACCATTCTGGACATGATGCAGCATGAGGTTTAAAAATGTATGAACAGCAGGTAGATTTAATGGGTGGTGTTATACACAGGCTCATATTTTATTTAATTCTACTAAATCTGCAGCGAGTTCTTACTAAACACTCAGGAGTGATTTTGTTTGTTTGTTTGTTTTCATTGTTCTTTTTTCAGCTGTTTACAGTGTTTTTTAAATTTCCCCATAAGCCAAACATAACTTGGAGTATGGGCTTGGCAACCTTCTTCCAGCTATTTTTAATGTAGCTTAGTTCAAAAAATGTATTTTAGACTTTTATTATAATCAAAAACATCATTACATTGTATTATAATTCAGTTGTTGAAGTGGGTTTGCACAAATATTTCAAAGTCATGTGTTTCCATGCAATGACCAGGTCTAGAAAAGTTCAACCCCAAAGCATGGAAACATTTTGCATTTTTTGCAAGTATATAAAATCTGGGTCCTAGTAGGCCTGTTTTTTAAATGTTAATTGCCATCTAGCAGTTACTACAGACGGTTGCTGTTATAAACATATTGAGACAGATTCTGTTTTTTCATTACACTGGTTTTAATCTGCACTAACTCGACTGACATCTCGGTGTTTTCCAACTAATTAAGTGAATGCAATCTTCTACTTAAGCAGCGTAAATGACATCAGAATCTGACCCTTGTATATAGGGAAATATCACCCTCAGAAGAACAGTTGCATTTAAGTTTGGCAGCTGTTAGAATGACACCAGTGATGCTACAAAACTACTTATGATAGGAAATTTTTCTACCATGTATGCTTCAGCAAGACCATTTGAGTAGACATAATATCCTGTAGTTACCAAAGGATGTTTAAGGGCCAGATTTTTCTTTGCATTATAATCACTCCTCACTGCATAACTAGCAGTTAGCAGTCTTCTAGTCATAAGGAGGATTCCACTGGTGGCACTGGATTGTACTGGTGGGAGCCAGTGCAATAACTCATGCCACAACCATTTATGGCCAACAGTGTAAACCAGGAGGCTAGAATAATGACCCTGGGTAGGCGGACTATTGGACCCAGCTACCACCATTGGTTGTATGCATGGTGGCATGAGGAAAAGCCCCACATCAGCAGGCTGCTGTTACCATGGGCCAGATCCAGCCCATAGAATGTAGGTTACCGCCCTCCTGATGTAGGCAATGTGGCTAGAGGGAAGAGGAGCTGTTGCTTGCCGCTTGCCTGCACTGTTGTGATTTGCTGCTCTATTGGACCAGTTGGCAGTTGATAGTGGTCAAAGTAATCTTTAGTACAGATAATACAAAACTGGAGGAGCAGGGAGAAGGTCAAAGCATTCTGTATGCATCACATCTTTACCTTCACATCTCCAACAATGCCTACATATATGCTGTTGCTCAACTGCATCCAAGCATATAGCAGTCAGTACTTTTTCGAGGAAACAAGTGCTATGAAAATGCCATTTAACTGAAAGCTATCTCTACGAGCACAGTATCCACCTGCACACACACCTCTTAACTCCCACCACACACTTGCACATGCACACATTCTGGGGTACTAATTTAGACCTGCCCTGGAGGAATAGGAACATAGATGAAGGAGGAAGAACCTTCAGGATAATTGACTCTAACCTCTACTTTCACAGGCAGTAGAATCATTTTCATATATTTATTGAATTTCATTTAAAACTAGCTATGTTTTTGCTCCTAGTATTTTGATTAGTGAGATTCTGGAAGAGCTTTAATGGTTGAAAACATTTTTTCAATATCCAATCTAAGTTTATCCATACTCAGATTATTGAATGACAAGTGCAGAATGAGATCTTTCTTTCAGCACCTGAATGACCTCTGTAACCCCACTTAACTAAGCAGATCTGTCAGCCCAAAGCTAAATAAGTAATGTCACTATTTCTGCTTCATAGTTTCACCTTGGGAGACCAAGTAAATCTCAAGAGAAAGTTAAAAATGGGGATTTTTACCTTGAGGGTATAAATTGAACAAACGAAAACATTCAAAATACTTATGCCCTTGAGTATGGCCCTCATGCTTCTACACTGAAATGGAGTGACTTCATATATTTTTATCTAAGCAGGTCAGGGCTGCTTTGGTCTTTGGTAAGATCATCAAATGACTGATACTGTTCTTGAGATCCACTTCAGTGGAAGATGTAGGGAATATAGGTTTAATTCTTTTATTCAAACTCAGTAAATGGTTTGGGACAATTAATTTCCAATTGTTTCCCAGTAGAGCAGATTTACTTGTATATTAATGAGGCACAGGTGTTAGGCCCCTGGTGTCTGCATGCCTGGGAGGCATATTTAGGTTGTTTATCTAGTCAGCCATAGGTACTGCAAGGTACTCAAGCTTGCCTTTAACAGTTTATACAGTGAGGGTTTTTAATTTTTTTATTTTTTTTTAAATTTGCTAGCACCTGTTAAAATTTTAAAACTGATCATGTAGAAAAAAGTAGAAGTGATTTCAATAGTAAATAGCACTAAATGTTAAAGAAAGTCATCCTCTATTATGCTTAACTGCCCAGCTTGAAAGTAAGAAGAAAAGAAGGTTCATTTAAGCAAATATGTCATGTGAGGAACTAATACAGTCAATGGTGTACTTTTCTATTGCATATTTTTGGAATAGGTATTTCTTTGTCTACGGCTGAAACATGAATGTGCTTATATTAATATTCATTTTTCTTGTTTATTCACTGAACTGCAGTACCAACATTTTAGAGGAAATGGAATAGCCTCCATAGACATTATGAATTTCAGTAGCTGGCATAATTATAGCGATCTACATATTCATTAAATCCAGAGAAGAAATGTGTCCAAAAAGACAGCCATGCGTTTAGAAATGGTACACAACTAAATATATACATTAAAAAGTTCCTTTCCTCTGCTTATCCAAAATTACTTAGTGTGATATAGCCCTTAAATCAGCTGAGGCTTTTATTTTTTAGGTGTTCATTCCTTTTTTTCCCCCCCTTTCATGTAGTAAAGAATGGGAAGAACTATTTGTAAACAACAATTACTTGGCAACAATACGGCTGAAGGGGATTAATGGGCAGCTGAGAAGCAGCAGGTTCCGTAGTGTTTGCTGGAAGGTAAGAAGAGAAAATATTTATTTACAGTTTGTGGTTGCAATATATCAACACATTACCTGATGCGCTGAAAGATTATTGATGCGAAGAATCACTGAATTTTCCAAGAGACTTCATCCCAATGTTTTTCTGTCCATTTTTATAATTCATAGGGCATTTACTAATCATATTGAGTTGCCTTATAGCTGAATTGCTGGTGATAGTGAAGAATTCCTATGAAAGAGCATCTTTGTGTTGAATTACATTTCATTTGAATGTAAAATTCATTGCAATGTAACTGTGTCTCCTGTCACTGTTTTTACACTGAAATGATGTGTTGAGATTAAAGGGGAAGTTTTGGTCATAGTTCATATTATAATGATTAACTTGCGCTTTTTGAAAACCTATCCGCTCCTTCTCCACAATAAGCAGTTGAGATGCCTCCTATTGATATGTGAATGAAAGGCTCTCATACCTTGAAAGACTCATACCATGGCTCTCTTGTAATGACTTGAATAAGAAAGAAATCAGGCTAATGTAGTTCTGTAAGACAGTAAAGGCCCTCTAAAGCCTCTCTTTCTCTTGGGCAAAATAGATAATAGGGATTGGAGTCCTAAAGCAGTATGTTGCAAAGCAATCAGGCCCTTCTTTCTTTTTCACTAGGGTAGGATTGAAAATTTCTGATAAAAGAGAGCATCTTTCTAAATAGTCTTTCTGTGTGTGACCATGATAACTTAAGTCACTTCACTTGAATTGGAATTTTTCCTGCTTCCCATTACTAGAAGGACCTACAAAAAAAAAATTAAGATACACTGCATAAGTATTAAAAAAAAAAACAAAACAAAAAAAACCAAACAAACAAAAAAAGAGGATGAGAAACTGAATGTATAGTGTGGTGCCAGTTTGTGCGTAAATGGATGTTTCTTTTTTGCAGTTTCATTGATTTTAAATATGTTGCATAATTTCCATTCATGGTCTGCTTACAACTCCTCTTGTGTATTTTTAATTTGGTCTCTTCCTGTATTCTTTGTCTGATTGGGAAACTGAATCTGAATTGGCCAGAGCCTCAGCTGTGGTAAATTGTCATAGCTCTATTGTTGTCAATGAAGCTGTGGCTATTTATACTAATCAAACATGTTGCATCTTCGAACTTTTACCATTTCTAGCTTCTCAGCTATTGGAACTTAAAAGTACATACTTTCAGGTTTTAGGCTTCTGGCACGTGCTTGTTTAAAGGCGCAATGGGGTCTGATCCGAACAGTCATGCCTCCTGCCATGCCAGACACGCATGGCAGGAGGCTCTCCCTGCACTGACAAGTTGAAAGCTGGGTGCCTGATTGCAGGGCTGACAGTTGGCTGATTGTCAGTTAATTTCGGCTGATTGTCAGTCCTGACTAGACAGTCCCATTTGAGACCCAGGGCTATCTGGAAACTGGGGCCAACAAATAGCTGATTATTGGCCCTAACTCCAGGCAGCTATGGCCAGGCTGCCCAGTGGTGGGAAGCAGAAGCTGCCTCCATTCAGTTCTTTAAGCCCTGCAGCTAGCAGCTCTGGCTGAGCTGCACAGTGCAATGGAGCAGAGGCTCCTGTCAGCTGCAACTGCCCTGCATCGGGTTTAAGGCCTCCAGTGGGAGAAGCCCCCCAGTCCCCTTCACTGTCGCATCTCCCCCTCTTCTCCAACCAGGAAGGGAGAGTGAGCTGATTGTCCGTGTCAGTTTCAGGACAACATGGGAACTGGTTGGAGACTCCATTACAGTTTCAGAATGGGGGGAGCTGTCAACCAACCCTTGCAATCAGGTATCAAACTATACACCAGTAACCCTGACCTGTTCATTTTAGGCATGATAAAAGCCAACCACAAATAATTATTACACATTTTGTGGAATAATTTGTGGCTGGTTTTGCATTTTGTCACCATGAATTGCCTGAATGTGAGGCTGGGTTGCTATTTAAGACGCGATTAACAGGTTAATTGTGTCTTAAGTGTAACATCTGCCAAGGGCCTCGGTTCTGTCAATTTCAGATGTAGATTCTGATTTTGTTAAATCACGTCCCTAAAATGGTTTAGACTCTCCTATAGGACTTACTTGAAAAGTTGCATTAAATTGGTTAAACTTCTTACATGCATGTTTTGATTTATTGACAGCTGTTTCTAAATGTTCTACCCCAAGATAAATGTCAGTGGATAGGTAAAACTTCAAACTTAAGAACATCATATAACAAGATTAAAGAGATAGTAAGTATAACCAAACATTTTTCTACACCTGGATATTGGTATAGTACTTCTAAAATTAGAACCTGAAAATAGAAACCTTGGTTTTTTTATTTTTTTTCCCCCCAGCATATAACAAACCCTCGAAAAGCTGGGCAGCAAGACCTGATTATCAACAATCCACTTTCACAGGATGAGGGGGTAAGATGAACTGCAGTGCCACAAAAATTCTGCCAAACAAGCAACAAAAATTTCCTGGTTTGCTTCATCAGATTGGTAATAACAGGGAAAATTAAATAGATGTATTGTAGTATTGTTCTGTAGATTGTCAGAAGGAGTTGCTATTGAGCATCTGGAAGTGTTTCTCCTTTTTTATTGGTATGCTGCCTATTCAGCGCACACAGTTATAGGTACCTTGCTGTGCCTGTCCTGAGTTACGTTTTCATGAGTGAGGACTATTTCTGGGGGTTTTGCTCAAGTTGCAATCTGACAGTTATAACTAGGATATTAGTAAATTTAACTGAGAAAAGGAAAGCTACTAGTCTTAAGGGGACAGTGTCAAACATTTTAATCCTGTTATGCTTGCAGTGCACTAATATAAATTAAATAAGAATTTTTTCTTTACAAGTTTTATGTTCCTGCAGTTGGCAAACTTTTTTTCCCCCTCCTTTGAAAATGGTCATGAATTGTTTACAGGGTGGGGAGAGGATGGGATTTTTTTTTAAACTGTATTAGCTGTTCTTTGCCAGGTGGTATAGTCAGCTACTGCCACTGTGTTCTGAAAGCTAAGTAAATGAAAGAACTGCTATGGATTTTGCTCCTCTTAAGTTCTGATCAATGCGTCAAGGCACCATGCTCCTCCAGGGAGAGCTGACTCTACACTCCGCTTTCCTCAACAGTACAGCAATCTCGTAATATCCATTTCAGTCCTGCAAAGGGAAAAAGGAGCAGTTTTCATTTAGATTAGCCTTTGCAGGGACCCAGTAAACAGGGCAAAGAAGTGATGGGGTAGCACAAGCACAGCTACAGAATGACTGAAGTTGACTCAAATTAGATTTAATTTTAGGATTGGTTAGTTTGCTGTATTTCTGCCTTTCTGCTCCTGATATGAGAACTTCCTTTTAAAATGATCAATACCAATTTGAACAGGATGTATTTTTCATTGTGGGTGTTCAATTGTTATACATTCCCAACTTAATTTACCTCTGCCAGGGCAAAGAAGCTCAATTGCAAATAATTGGCCAGTGTGCAATTTAAGCCAATTTATAATTAATTTTTAAGTATATAGAAGCAATGTGGTCTAGTGGATTGAGCATAGGGATAGAAGCCAGGAATTTATAAATTTAATCCCTGCTCAACACACTGACTTGCTGTGATGCCTTGGGCCACTCACTAATCTGTCTTTCTCATCTGTAAAATAATGATAATACCTACCTTCCAGGAATGTTGTGGATTAATTGGTTAATATTTGTAAAGTACTTTGCAAGGATATAATGCAAGTCTGAAGTATATCGTATTTTTTATTTAATACAATTATTTTTACTTATTTCAGAGTCTTTGGAACAAATTTTTCCAGGATAAAGAGCTTCGAGCAATGATTGAGCAAGATGTGACAAGAACGTATGTAGCTCTTTCAGAAAAAAATTATTACAGTTTAAACTTTTTTTTACATTGTATGCACAACATCATGTTTTCTTTGTCTAAGATGATATAGCGTAATACAAGGGTGCTAAGAATACATGAACATGCAAGCACATACACAATATATAAAGAGAAGTCTGTCTTTGACTCTGTCTTTGAGAGAAAGCAGAAAATATTCTTGAATTAAATGTTATACTGTAAGGATTTGTTGGTATCATTGAAGTGAAACTCTTCTCAATTAAGATTTAGGAAATATTATATTAAATTTAAAATACAGTTTTCTGTAGGAAACAAAAAGAAAAGAGAAATTGACAGGTCTTTTGACTAAATTATGTTCATAATAAAAGATTGAACAGATGATTTTCTGTAATTCTTAACACTTATTCAATCAATAATAGAAAAGCAGTGTGTAATTAGTTAGAAAATGTCATTCATCTAGAGAAGTTTAGCATTTCTATTTTTATGCATCACTTTTCTAGTATTGTCACAGATGCCTTTTAAAAAAATTGCCCTGCTATCACTAAGTATCTTTTTATCTCCTTGGCCTCAAGTCATTCCTGTTTAGGAACTTATTTGTGTTAGAACACTCACTTCCTGAAAATATTTTCCCAGAGTTAGAACACTGACTTTAATATGTGTAAAACAATTACATTTAATTACAGCTTTGTTAAACATGTACCCTGGTCCTGTACTGGATTGCATACATTCTTTTATGTTTTAAACAAAGACAGTGGTGGTCATACTCTTAAAATTCATTTACAATATTAATTTACAAAGTAAATCAAATTCACTTACGATAAACAAAAATTTAAAAGGAAGTAAAGGTCACTGATAATTTTGTGGAATATCTTGAGCATCCATATTTGGACCGATTTATCAAATGCATTATGCCTTTGGATTTATAATAGAACCCGAGTATGATTTCATGTACATTTTCATGGATGGTATTTCTTTTGTTTGTAAATGGGAACAGTTCAGCATGTTCTAATATTAAAATATATACATACATAAATTGTAAAAGGGAAATGAAAATTGATATCGTATTAGTTTGGGACAGTTGTTAAAAAGAATGCAAGACCCAGACTATTGTTCCTCTGGTCTAGTTAACTGTCCAGGTAGCAAAATAATTTTGGATAAAGAATATTTTGCTTGTATGTAATTATCCAAAATGGCGTCTACTTCCAGCAATAATGGGGAATACCAGAAGTCATCAGTATAATTGTCACAGTAACATTAATTTGCCTATATTGCACAGCTTATGTACTGAGGTTGTATACATTTTGTAGCATAATTATTCACAAAATATGTTGTTCATGTGTAATGTGGGCAAGTTAATATTTCAGTGAAAATATATTTTACATGTCTTTACTTGGGTTTCAACATACTTTATTTAATACTTAATATTACTTAATAAATATTTAATATTTATTTTCCTATTAAAAAACATCCCTTTAAAAAAATAGTAGTTAAACTTGTCAGTTCTGTTTGTTAAGGTACATCAGCTAGAAGTTGAAGCAGTTTTGGAAAAAGTGTACTAAACTTGCCAACTTCTGTGTGTTAAAAGTGTGTGTGTGTGTGCGCGCGCGTGCGTGTTTCTCCTTCTTCCTAGGTAAAACGGCCTTACAATCAACAGAATTAACTAACTAACTTGATATATCGGTGAGATAGTGATACTAGCTCCACAAAGTATCATCAGCAACAGTAGGAAAAAATTATTTTGTGTAATCTTTTACCTAGAGCAAATCAGTTTTAACTAGTGCAACAATAATCGGCTTTAAATTATTGTACAGAAATATGATTTTTAATTTGATGGAGCTTTAAATAGTCCTAATATTTTACTATCAAAATTTAAATAAATGAATTGAATAGGGAGTTGAATTCACACATTTTGCTACCATTGTAATTAGCTGAAAATATTTTTCTGAAAATCTGGATTAACCCAGTAGCTCCCCATCTAGAAGGGCAGCAGGAAAATATACCTGCACTTTGTCTTTTTCATCTGTTATGCTGGTTTCAGAATCGTCCGCCAAGAGGGAATGTCACATTGTAAGCATGGTTTCATTAGTCCCTGCTATAGTCTTAGCACTTATTCTGTATAATAAGAACCAGTTTTTTAAACCACTTAATATTTTTGCCTGTTACATCAAACAAAGTTCCTATTCTGCAATAAAAACTATTTGTAAGTAAAGTATTGATGTCATTGTTAAGTAATTATGTTGTTAGTGATCAACACATCTAAAATAATGATGTTTCTTTTTTCATCATCCAGCAGCTGAGACATATCAAAATGGATTTTTCCTTCAGCTTCCCAACAACATTCACTTCTGAGCTGTAACCATGTTCAGATCATTTGTCTCCAAATAAGAAGCCTTTCAGAAGGCCGTGGCTAAGAGAAACTGGGTGGTTATAATGAAAGTTCTGGCCTAACTTTAATTATATATAGAAGCCAATACCAGGCTACCAGTATAATACTATGTTCTATTATTCTCCTAAAAGAGAAACTCCTATCTGAATATGCACAATGGTTACATGCAGTAGACTTGAGAACATTGTGATTAATTACTGTCATTCAGTAAATACACTAAAGAACAATACTGTTATTATCTTCTAATAACAAAAAAATATAGAAACTAAAGCACAATTTTAGAAGTTCTCCCCAGACCTGTCTTTGAAACCAGTAGTGTTGCATAAGATGCAGAAGTTTTATTTTATTGTTATAAAATGTGTACAAATTCCTTTGTGAAGAAGCATTGACGTTCTGAGTCTGAACTGCTAGTCCTTCTCACTAGCCTCGATTCTTTTCTTTTAAGCTATGAATTGAACTAAAATTTACCAATCTTAATTCCCTGTACCCAAACCAGTTCCTAAATAGAGCGGGGGGGTGGGGGGGGAGGGGGCAGCATCAGTCCTCCAGTGCCTTCTCCCTCTGAGTACCTGGCATCCTAGTTGGTGAAAACACCTACTATCCTACCCCAGTAATATCAAGATAACTAAAGGGAAGTTGTGCAAGGTGAAGGTGTGAGCTGAAGCTCAGTAAAGCTCAGCGAGACCTTACCCTCACTCTGACATCTACCTTGTTCCACTGTCTATAACTTTGCACTCTCCCCATTGCTGTTTGTGATAGGTAAATTATCTGAGGTCTGGGGCCCCTCTTCCCTCCTTTGAATAGATAAAGTTCAGTATTCAGGATTTACATCTCTGGAACTGTCTTTCTCAACAACACCGAGTCATTCCATTATAACCTGTTCCCAATATCCTTTTTTGTGGGGAGAGTATCCCCTCACCACTGAAAAATTCTTTTGAGGATGCCTAGATGTTCATTTCTTACCAACTCCCCACAGTCTTTTGGTTGTTTCCATATCCATGGGGAGAGGGAAATAGTTTCTTTCTCCCTTTCCACACCCCCTTTCCAGTTCTTTAAAAAGCAGCAGGATTGTCTGCTGCTCAGGTGGCTTGTACTCTGTGTTTAGCTTTTATTAGCCATGCTGCTGAAGTAGATCTATCCACTACGCAGTTGGGTTATATCAGTGAAAAGAAAAAAATGGGTAGTTTCAGAACACCCTGAAATGACTTTTACAGTAGCCATTTATTCACGCTAGTCTTTACTTTTAGACACAATAATCTTCAGTGCACATTCTACTAACTGCAGTAAAACATGATCATCAATAGCTGATTTTCATGTGGTCCTTCCCTGGCATTAAGTTAGATTTATTACCCTAGCATTTTCTTAAAATGGTTCCTACTCTTCTGGATGTGGGGACACTACACTTTTAAAACAGCTTCTAATTGCACAGTAACATTCTTTGTAACATTCTTTCTGAACTGATAGTTCCCTCTTAACCTTCATGATCACTAGCTTTTTGCATTTGCCATAATGAACACTTAAGCTGTCTTATTCATGGATTTGTTATTTTTCTTCCTAAATCCTCATGGATAGCTGTGTATTTTCAAATTTTATTTGTTAGTTTCTCTTCCCTAAACTACACAGGACAGGCCTGAATAATAGTCCTTCATAAATAATCTTTTCAAAATCCTAAATTATGCTGATTGCCATCTGCTGTACTGTACCTTTTCAGTTTCTGCTGCGTCCTTCCTTTATAGTAATGTGATTACTGCAAGTGCATACAAGTTTCCAAATGCTGGTATACCTCTTTCAGATGCCAGAAAAATGTTGTGCTCTTCATACCAGGACTCTTGTCAGGATTTTTGCTGACATCATATTCATGTCCCCTAACTCTGTGCTTTGATATTTAATCCTTTTGATTTTTTTTTTATAATTAAACTTTCATTACCATTGTGACGAATGCACAGTGCTGTTTATTCTAAGGATTTTATTCAAATTCTCATCATACTTAGTGTTTTTCTTAGGGTATGTCTATACTGTAGATTGCAGTGTAGATAGTGATACTGAAGCTAATTTTAAGTGAGCTAGCCCTGCCCAGAAGCAGCCCAACAATAACAGCACAGAATTCACTGTGGGCTAATTTAACCTGCCATGTAGGAGAAAAATTAGCCTGTACTGATCTCTGTGTTGGTTTGAGTAGATTACTTTTGGTACCCATGTTAGCTCAGGTATCTCCACAGAACACTAAAACCTGTACACTAGGGATATACCCAGAACCTGAACAGCTTGCACCATGTGAATATGAAAGAAGCTCAGTTTCATTTTTAAGGAAATTTCTATCTCTAAATGTGGTGGAAGAAAGCATGAAACTGATATAAATGGCTCAGAAAAGTTTCAGAAAAACCAAAGGTACATGAAATGAACTCAAAATGTGTTTTAAAAAAATCTCATGATTTGTTATTCTTTATTATGCAGGGTTGGCAATATGATATCTATTTTGCAGCTGGTTAACCTGAGGCACAGTGTTGCCCATGGTTGCACGGTAAGGCTCAACAAGACTGACTTAAAACTAGACATAGGAGCCAAGTGTCCTGTGCTCTCCACTGCATCATATGCCCTATAAATTTTACTATTTACACGAGGCTTTTAGTTTTTTGAATTGTTATAATCTGTGGTGTAGTAGTACGTAGAGGTCCCATTGCGCTATAATTGTATCCGCAATCACCCATGTATTTTTCTCCAGGAAATAGTTCTTGTGTTTCCTTTTAAACAGGGTTCTCTTATTATTTTAGGTCTTTACTCTTCCACTGGATGTTTGGACATTCCCTAATTTTTTCATTAAAAAAAGACTTAAATTACTCTCTTTACAAAATAAGTCTTAAAAATGTGTTGTACCACATCTGTTCCGGGAGCCACATCCCCAGGGCCTTCTTTCCTCATTAATATCTTTGAGGGAACAGGATCACGCTATGCTTATCCTAAAATGCATTAAAAATATTATTTGGTTTTCTGGTAAAAATATATGTTCACCTAAATTTTAAGGTATTTTTAAAGAGGTAACTTCACCCCTTCACACTATCCCATTTTTAATCTAACCCAAGCAGAAGCAATTCCATGAATACTTGTAGCATGATAATCCTGACAAGTTATACAGTGTTATCATTTATAAGAAGAAAATGCCATATTTGAATAGCTACAAGAAAATAGCAACTGTTGTTTATGTTTTCAGATTCCTAGAGATGGACAGTTAATACACATGAATGACTGATTTTGTGTTCACCCATCCTATGTAATATATCCCATATGTTTGCCTGTGCACAAATAACTGGGTTTCATATATGTGCCTTTTCACACATGAAAACTTAAATACAAGGGAGCCCTTGAAAATTGTCAGGCTGTGCTGCATTTATTTTAAACAGTAGGGAACATGGAAGAAAATACCAGAAATCATTCTGTTATCAAGTAACACTGCAATTCTTCTGAGTACCCTTTCAAAATAGTTCTCTTCCTTCTTCTCCAATCCTCCCCTTTTATTTGTATTATTTTCTGTGTTAACATTTCATATGGTCACTCATGCAAGTCTACTCTCAGTTTCAGGCTGTTTTGTTTGTGTACTGATTTATAGAGAGACATCTTGTATAAATTCACTTTAGTGCATTTTCTTTGTTTGTCTGTCTGTCTGTCACTCAAGCAAGGAACAGATTACACAATCATGAACTGTTTGCAACTAGCTACACAATAATATTTACATTGTTCTAGTTCTTGATGCTTGTGCAGCAGCATTTTTCCCAACTTCTTGGCATCTTGAATTTCCTATTCCTTAACATTTTTAATATATCTCAAGTTCATTTTCTTGGGTAATAAAATATTACGGTATTATATAGGACTGCCTGCCCTTTGTGAACATGTAGGCTGGAGACAGAAATTACACATAAACCAGTATAAGTGATCAGAAACCAGTTCAAATCTGCAGCATAACAGAAGTTTAGTGCACATAATCTGCTTTTAAAATAGCCAAAACCAGTTTAAGATAAACCTGGATGGATAGAGCATCAGACTTAACTGATTTAGGTTAAATCAGTTTATTGAACTTCTGTCCCCAATTCAAGTTAACTCACTGTCCCTCATCTCTTCTGCAAACCACCCCACCCTGTGGGGTAGGTGGACTAACCCTGGCCCAACATGTCTGCTGTAGCTGATCAGGGAGGTGTGCTCTGGTACCCCCTAGCTTCTGGCCTGGGCCAGTGCAGGCCTATGGCTACATTTCTGGAATCAAAAGTGAATGTCTGTTCACTTGCTTATTTGTTTCGTCTATGCAGCTTAGATTAACCTGCGAAGATTGAATCGAGTTAGCTTCAGGCTATTAGACTGTCTATACTTAGCAGTAGAGCCTAATCATCCTTCACCATAGAAAGTTTTAGTAGATGTAGTATGTACAGGATCTTGTTAAATCCCAAGTAGTTCAGGACTTTGTCATCTCATTGTGAGTACAGTTCCCATTAGCACATGATTAGGTCCTAGAATTTTGTGCAACTTAGGCTATTTTAAGACATTTTAATGGCTTAATGACACTTATTAAAGTATCCTTGTAAAATTACCCTAATTATTTTTTTATATTGAACAAAATACTGACACATATATCAGTAATCAAAGTGATATACAGGAAATACAATTAGAAATTATATAAACTAGCTAATGTACCAGAGCAGCTATACCCTTTATAAGGGCTTCTTCTGCCACTTTTTATGTTGGAAAACATGGCCATCAGGACTGGATACTGATTTTGAAACTGAACAGTAGTCCTGATACACCAGTTATGGTTGACAACCTAAAGCAAATGCAAGGAATGCAAGAATATATGTCCTATACAAGTCATTGGTAATCATTTGAGACCTGGGGCTGGGGCAGCACGGGTGTTAAGGCACACACAATTGACATCCCAGAGATCCTAAATTTGAGGACATGGCAGACATGCTAACAGTGCGGCCCTGTTATTCCAATGAATCTGCGAATTCTGCTAAATACCTTGTCACAAGGGCACTAAAAAAGAAGGATAGGATTTGAGACCTATATTATTTGTCTAAAATTTTCCCAGATATCAAAATCAAATGTTTGAATGATTCATAGTCTCTTCAATTATAACTCCTTATTTGTAGAAATATTCTTAGGCTCTCTTGAATCCATTATGCAGGACCAGTTAATTGGTGGGTTGTTGGAACCAGGCTGTAAGTGGGAATGTGGTCACGTACCACTGCACCATTTTAAAGGAAACAGTTCTCTTGTTCCCTGTTCCTGCTTTAGCAGCTGCTTCAGCTACTGCCACCTATTCTGCATATCTTTGTTGCTTGCTTAATGTCAAGCAGCACTGTAATGAGACATCCTATATATGCTATACCCCAGACAGGAGTTAATGTGAAGAGGGCATTAGCTGTGTTTGTCTGAAGTCAGGCAGAAGATGGAGCAGAGTGACACCTTACAGACCTAATTAATTCAGACAAGCATAAGCTTTCATAAGCAGCAGCTTACTTCATCATATCCTTGGCATTCAGAGATGCTTTGATGAAGTAAGCTGTTGCTTATGAAAGCTTATGCCTCTGAGTTAGTTACTCTGTAAGATGCCACTGTACCCCGCCTTCTGGAGGTAATATAGCCATGATTTGCTGTGCTACACAGAAGCCATGCTTCAGCAGAATTCAGTGCCAAGTGGGGAAAGGTTTTCCTTATAGAAAATGCCAAATGAACCCATATTTTGCACAGCTGGGGAAAATGATCTTATGTGAAAGATGTCTCTCTCTGACTAGATACTCTAGGGGTGAACCTGCACAAATAACTATGGTAGAACAAGTCACTCACAGGCACAGTGTCTGCTGCAGCACTTGGAGCCGGGGTAGAGCAAACCTGGGCTGGCCAGGGTCCCAGGTGGTCCGCCCCAGGCTTCGAGTGGCTGCAGCTGATGATGGAGGGGCTGGCTAGGGCATGACTGCTGAAGTGCAGGGCTGGACAGCAGCAGTCCCCCTGTACTTCAGCTCCCTCTTGCCCCAGCCAGCCCCTGTCACCGTTTACATGTGCATTTCAGTGTACGTAAGTACTCCGCCATAAGGTAGTACTTTCCTCAACAGTACTGTCTTATGTCACCGTTAATTTATTGGCCACACCCTAATACTGGTGCATATGTGGATGATGACACTTTGCTGTGGAGCTAATTGGGCTACTCTGTAGTAAAGCACACATGTAGATGCACCCTAGGAGAATCCCATTTTCAGTGGATTGGTCACCTGCAAAAAATGGCAATCAGAATGATCTACCTGTCACTTGCTTCATTGTAGTGATGGCTAGCCTATCAAAGGATGTTATCCACTTAAGGAGAACTAACAATTGGCATTTATTATAATATTGAAAAGTATATGGTTCAGAATGTTGTTTGCAAGACAAATATAGCATTTAAAAATATTGTTCTGTAACAACCGCAAAAGGATAATGAAGAACAGCTATAAAGTCTTACCTAGAACTGCTTGTAGAAGCCCAGGTGTATATCTAAATCAGGTGCCTGAGAAAGTCTTTGTGAGCTTTTGTTGTTTACTTCAGTAGAATTTTTTTTTTCTTTTTTAGATTTCCTGAAATGCAGTATTTCCAGCAAGAGAATGTGAGAAAAATTCTTACAGATGTTCTGTTCTGTTATGCTAGAGAAAATGAGCAGTTGCTTTATAAACAGGTAATGAAAATATCGTACAGGTGGCATCCATTGACTCAACATTTTCTATGCAGCTTGACAAATGATTGAACAATAATGTAGGTTTTATTGTATCCAAAGTTGTATCATAATGCTAAAGCAATCAAAGAGCTGCTTGTCAGTTTCATGGTAAGGAAAGTAAACTCATTCAAGCGCATATGCTTCCCCCCTCATAAGACATTCCCTCAAAACCTTCTTCTATAAGGCTGCTAAACCTTACCTTCCAACTTTTTTGAATAAGGCTTTTGTATAAACAGCTTCTCTTCAGGCTCTAGCCCAAGCCCATTTATCTATGCTTAGATAAATACTGAATATATATTTCCTGCAGTTTATAAGTATGGTAAGTAACTGGTTCAGATTTAGGCAAAATCAAATTGTTTCAAATCATATGTAACATTTCAAGTTATTCTGTGGTTTCTTCAGCATGATAGACAACTTTTTGTTTGAGTTTGATCCTTGGCAGATTCTGTAGTACCAAAATAAAATACAGTATACAGGATGTTTCTGAAACATTTACTTTTTCACCAGTAGGGTTGCTAATATCAGTTCCACAGCATTACCAGATACTAAAATCCCTGCATCTTACTTTTAAAATTAGTGAAAGATCATATTTCATTCAGTTGAAAAATTCATTTGTTGTGTGATACAATCTCAGTTAATTCCATGTGTACACCAAAGTTTTTTAAATGAACGTAAACTTTAAAACAAGTTGCTCCAGCAAGACTAATGTATATTGAAAGAGAATCATAGACATAAGTATATTTGTGTGTTTCCAATTAACATTGCACACTGTTTTGAAACTAAGGACTAAGAAACTAAGTAATATAGTATGTGTGGACAAGAGTAAGCTGTAGAACAACTGTAATTAGAAAAAAGATTCAGAAAAAATGCAGTCTTTCAATAAATTTACAAATATTTTTAATAGACCACATGCTTTAAAATGTGTTCTACAGCTACCCCTTTCCTGACCCAGGAAATTGCATCTCATGGAAGAGACCAGCACACCTGATTTTGAAATAGCAGTAGCTTACCAAAATTCTCTGATAGATGATATTGAAAAATCAAGTGTATAGTTATCAAAAGTAGCAACTCTCGATTAGTTAACTATTTTTTTTATTTTTAATGGATGTGAGTAGACACTAACCTTATATCAGAAAGAAGAAAAAATAAAAGATCAGGAAGATCAGTATATTTCAAGGCACGGCTATAAAAAAAAAAACGTTTTAGAAGTACTTAGCTGCCTCATTTCTAGTGTATATAAACCAGAATACTTGTGATGGGGAAATGGAAGAATGCATTCTAGCTAATTTGGTCTATTATTTATTGAACAAGAAATATTATTTTATTCTTTGATATGACTTAAAAGAACTTAATTACCCCCTGCTTATGTTTAAAATCCTGTAGATTCCTTGCAGAGAAATAATACCTTGCTACATAAGGATTGAATATTTAGCCAGATCAAATTTAAAAAAAAAAACCCCTCTAAGTTTCATCACAAGCTGTTAAAGCTATTATTTTGTACTAGGTGACACCCCGTTTAACATAGACCATATTGTTAATAGTTATGGGATTTTATTGAATTAATGAGACTGTTATCATGTAGTAGAATGTCTTGCTGAGTTAATTGAAACTGCAGAGATTATATAAATGGTATTAATGAACTTTGACTGCCTGATGCCTCAGCTTTAATAAAGACTGCTTGGTGGGCTAAATGAACATAGGCAGATAAAAGAACAGGTTCAATTTTGTGAGCCTACAGGCTGTTGACAAAGAAAACTTCTTTACCTCTGTTTCAACTAGTGTTACTAGAACAGTGCAATAATTTCAGAAAAGGATTGCCACAGGAGTAAAGGGAGTGGTAAAGGGCAGAAAAAAGATGAATTTGGATGATGAAAGCATGTCTGTTTATCTTTGAGGGTTTGTTTCAGTATCTAAAAATGATGGCGCAGTACCAGATAGTCAGTGATTTTTTTTTTTTTTTAACCCTCCTTTGGACCCTTCTTATTTTTTTAGAAAGATCTTTACCCCTTTTCCAACCTGTTCTGCATTTCCAGAGTCTTCCTTTTTAATGTCTCCACAATTATCATCCACATTAACCATGTTGACTTTGTTTGGCCCTCCTGCCTGTAGATAACTGTCTCATTCAGGGGGACTGTTTCATGGATTAGCTGCCAGGAAATGCTGTGAGTATAGTGAAGTCAATAAACCTTTTAATCTCTCTCAACCATATCAATTTACCTGTCCATGGTCAGATGCCTTATTTGTAACCAGGCTTCATTCATGACTGAAGCTAGTTTTAATTCAGTTCCTATCTAGGAATGAGGCCACATAACTCAAAATAATTTTAACTATTACAAAAAGTAGCAGTTTATCTGCCAGGCAATAAAGGTTGCCATTAATGCATCATTAACACATCACCATATGCTACAATGATTGAATATAGGGTCCAGTTTAATGCATTTGCCCTCATAATTCTAAGTACATCAAGGAGCTTGCTCTTGCTTCCAATGAAATCTCTGCTTTCACGTTCATGAGCACCTTCATTTTTTTGAACAGTGTAAAAATTGATCTAGGTGGAAGGGAGCTCTCAGGCATGCATCAGAAAGCTTTTTATAGGAACTGGACCTAGATACCACAGCTCATTCCTGCAATGAACAACCATGAAGTAATGACTTGTTTTAGAATTGAAAACTAATTATTTATTTTTCTTGCAATTTTTATATACATGAACACTCGCATGCAAATAAAACATTTAATAAAGCTTTTTTTCCAGTAGCTTAGCATAGAAGAAGAAAGTTATTTTATTTTAAAATAATTTGGAGGCAATCTGAATTTGTAATTACTGGGGCCATATAAACCTAATAGATGGTGGCTGAAGTTCACAACATTGAGATTGTTACTGAACTTGACATTAGTGTTCGTACAAGCAATCCACATGTTTATTCCATATGTGTAAATGTATGTGTTGTCTTTGCAGTAAGCTTATGGCTTTTGGCCATTGTAAAACATTTTTTTTATTCTTTCACAGGCCAAAAAAGTTGCCCTTTACTCAAATATAGGAATAAAAAAAAATCTTAACAGTTTTTACTTTTATCCCATTTGAGATTTTTTTTTTCATTAAAAAAATCAGTTATACATATAGCTATGTGAAAATTGCCTTTGCTTATAAATTTTATCAGAAAAAAAGTAGTTCTTGTTAAACTGAAAAGATGCCATAATAGCTAAGCCAAGCCATCCAGTCAGCAATTGTTCACTTATAATTTGATTGTCCTTACATGAATCAATATAGTGTTGAAATGCATTGATTCATATTTCAGTGGTAGTACTGCTGTATTTCTTCTTTTTTTCAAAATCAGAAACTGTATTATGAAATCAATATTTTGCTGTAGTTGGCAAGAGTCATGAAATTATCTGCCTGCTGTCAACCCTTATATTAACACTAAAGAGTTTTACTAAACTGTTGATGTATTGCAGAAAAAAAGGTATGTATACATAGTACACTGTGGATGCGTCTACACATGCCATTGAAGTGCAGCAATAAACTGCAGAGCTTATTGCTCCACCGTTTATGGCTCCTAGGAAGCTCCTGGGCATGTAGTTTACACATTTGCTGGGACCACAGTGCATTGAGCCAGGTTGCAGCAGCCCTAGCTGGCAGAGAGCCCAGGAGGTCAGCCTGCCAGCCTGGAACTGCTCTGACCAGGCTCAGTGTATTGTGGAGGGGTTGGCTGGGGTGCAAGGGTGCTTCAGTGTGGGGCAGTGTGAAGCCCCAGCACTAAAACACCCTCGTGCCCCAGCCAGCCAGCTCAGCATCTACATGTGTGCTGCTGTGCACGACAAAACTCTGCAGTAGGGTAGGATTTGTGCTTATTAGTTTTGCATACCCTGAGACATTTACTGCACAGTTAATTAGTCAACTGCACAGTAAACATCTCGTATAAACACTCCCGGTGGCTTCTTTTTCCAAGCTAAAATGCAAAATGTTTCAAGTGGTCTCTTAAATGAAGGAATAGCTCTGTTTTGAAATCTTGATATTTTCTCAGCCTCTAGTTTTTGTTTTTGTTATATATAGATGATCACATTGTGATTTGCTTTATTTCCAAATTAACATATGAAAATGTTGGAAGATGGGGCTGTGTTATTCTCTTATTTTTATAACTAATCCTACCTTATGTCTTTTTACAAACTGCAGAACAAGAATATAAATTTACTATTTAGATAGTGAATTTCTTATTAACTGTATTTTAACAACCTCATGTCGGTTCTATGTCAGAGAAATATACATTTAAAACTAACAAAATGCACGTAGAATTACAGTCTGAGTTGCTTGCAGTTTGTATACGTATTTTTAGCACCTTGGTTCATCTCCCAATCCTTTGACATTCTGTTTGCAGTCTCTACTTACTTTTCTCACTGCTGTAGGTCATCCTTCCCCCCCCCCCTCCAAAATCTAGTGTTACTAACTTTCAGTCTTATATGTGAGTCTTGCAATAGCTCCTGAAAAGAAAGCTGAGATTTTCATTTAACCATTTACATTTTTTTTATGTCGTTTGTTGTGCTCATGGTTCTTGAAAAAAGTTGGAAATATAACTCAAGTGCCCTCTAAAGACTCGGGTGTACTTGGTAGCTGTGTTGGTCTGAGACAAAAAGACATACAAAAAAACTAGAACTCTTGGTTCCAAAATGATACCTTTTATTAGACCAACTGGAAAAAGGCAAGAACACTGTCCTTTTCTTCAAGCTTTAGCTTGCTCTAAAGACTCAGAAGTCAGAAAACAACAAAGAAAAGCTCCAGGGTTTTTTTTTTCAATATGTTGTGGTTTTTAAGCCAATCTCATAATTTTTTTGTTGGGGAGTAGGGTTCTAATTCTTTTTTTTTAAACATTGGCCCAAGGCTGCAGTCTGGCCCACCAAGCCCACCCTGCAGCATCTCTCTTCTCTGTTGTCCTCTTATGACTCGCATGCACCCCCCTACAGTGCCTTACTGACCTGTCTCATTGGTAATAGTGTTGAACAGCACATTATTTTAATTATGGGACTCCCATACCTCCCACTCCCTCCAAGAGTTTTGGGTAAGTTCTTGTGCTGAAGGCCCCAGTTGCTTGTGCTCATCTCAATGCTTAACTTCATGTGTCACATTCCTAAATGAGGCATCATCTTGTGACAGGAGGCTGGAATGATGCTTAGTAAAGGTGCTACTGTGGTCCACCAAATGATATATGGACTTAGCAGGATAAAAGAGTTGCCACGCGTTCAACACTTACTAAGCCCAGTTGATTTAGGAGTCACACCCAGAGAGTGGTGGTGGATGGGTCGGTATTGACCTGGAAAGATGTGGGCAGTGGAGTCCAATGAGGCTCGGTCCTTGGACCAGTGCTGTTCAGTATCTTTATCAGTGACTTGGATGAGGGTGTGGAAAGCACTCTGTCCAAATTTGCAGAGGATACTAAATTATGGGGTAAAGTTAACATACCAGAGGGTAGGGAATGAGTCCAGGTGGATCTGGGCAGGTTGGAAAAATGGGTGGAACAGAAAAGGATGCAGTTCAATAAGGACAAATGCAAGGTGCTGCACCTAGGAAGAAGGAATCACCAGCACGCTTAGTCTGGGGGAGGACCTCCTCAGCAGCACGGCAGTGGAAAGGGATCTTGGAATCATTGTTGGCCCCAAGATGAACATGAGTCGTCAATGTGACAAAGTGATCAGCAGGGCTAACCGCACTTTATCATGCGTTAGCAGGTGCATAACAAACAGGTCCAAGGAGGTGATACTTACCCTCTATGTGGCATTAGTCAGGCCGCATTTCGAGTACTGCGTCCAGTTTTGGGCGCCACACTTCAAGGGAGATATGGATAACCTCAAGAGGGTTCAGAGGAGGGCCACTCGTATGGTTAGGGGCCTGCAACCAAAACCCTATGAGGAGAGAATTGAAGGCCCTGGATCTCTTCAGCCTCCCAAAGTGAAGGCTGAGAGGTGAACTTGTGGCCACCTACAAATTCATTAGGGGAGGACAGCATGGAAAGATGACCTGTTTACTAGGGCATCACTTGGAGTAACTAGGAACAACGGCCACAAACTGACGGAGAACAGATTTAGGTTAGACATCAGAAAGAGCTTCTTTACGACGAGGGTTGCCAAAATCTGGAATAGGCTTTCAAGGGAGGTAGTGCTTTCCCCTACCTTGGGGGTCTTTAAGAGGAGACTGGACATGCACCTGACTGGGGTCATCTGACCCTAGCGCTCCTTCCTGCCCAGGGCAGGGGGTCAGACTTGATGTTCTGCTAAGGTCCCTTCCGACCCAAACATCTATGAATCTAAGTGCAATTTAAATGCAAAGAGAGAGAGGTTCAAGCAGTTTAGCGTGTGTTAAGTGCCATTCTGATGTTGCAAAGTTGTTTCCCTTCAGGCAGGTTGATCAGAAATTGTGTACTGTCATTGAGTAGTACAACTGTATTTTTCTGCTTTAGCTCCTGCATGTTTATGGATTTGTTTATTTGCATTACTCATTATAAATGGTAAAAATAACTAAAAACCTGCACTGGAGCAATATTGAGTTTTGTCCGTGCATTGTCATATATAGGTTTCACAATAAACATAAAACAAACCAACAAAAAACGTAGTTTTAATCTCCATAGGCATGGATGTCTCCATTTCTGATTCCCCAAATGGCTGCCTTTGTCTTTTCCAAAGGCCATTGATATCCTAGTTTTGGAACATTATCAAATAAAAAAGAATTTTAAATTTTGTAATTTGTCCTTATTGCAGATCTTTCTACTGTGGTGTATGATTGTAATTACCATAAATAAAATTCATATTTATGAACATAGATCTTTGGAGTAACTGCCAGGTGCAGGGTTGTCTACCATTGCCAATTTGTTGTCTGTTATGTTAGAGAAAGAGAGAATAACTTGCTTCCCATATATTACAGGAGAATAAACACTTGGATTTAATCAGAATTTAACATAAAAACCATTGATTATGAAACCAGTCTGTTAAGAATGTAAATGTTCATGCTTTTACATTTTATACTGTTAATATTATTGGCTGCTAGATGCTGAGGTGGAGCATTATGAAAGAAGACCTTGCTGTAATTTTGTTTTCTTTTATCTTTAGGGTATGCATGAACTTTTAGCGCCGATAGTCTTTATCCTGCATTGTGACCACCAAGCTTTTCTACATGCCAGTGAAGCTGCCCAGCCAAGGCAAGTCATGTGCAATTATCCATTTAATGTGGAAGTATTGTATTTTTCCATATTTATATATATTTAAGAATTAATCTATATATTTTTCTTTCCATTTTTTTCTTTCTTTATTAAAGAAAAACATACTGGCTTCAAAGTCTATAACAATAAATCTGATGGCAAAATGTTTAATTTTTCAGATATGTTATTTTTCATCATGCCTCTGTGAGAGATCAAAAATCAAAGGAAACTTCTGAAGCAGTTTTAAAGAGTAGCAGTAATTTTCAAATACTAGTTGCTGAAAAAAGAAAGGTGGGCCCCCTAGAGGAAAACTATTAAACCAGAGGTTTCACTGAACAGTGCAAATCAGAAGTGGTTTGATCTCTGTCACTGAAGGGAGTAGGCAGATTACAGAGCCCAATCCTGACATAGATGAGTTGTTTATCAGTATGTTCTTGTATTTTTAAAAATGAGTACATTGCAGTGATTGATAACTGTTCTATTCCTTAAAAAATTGTACATGAATACCACTTGACTTTAAAGTGATATTAAGTTCAGATGTAGATTTTCCATATCATGCAAATAGCGTTTACATAAATATTATATCACGTATGATTGTCCCACAGCTAAATTCACATGTTCTTGATTCTCTCACCCTGCTGATAAAGATTGTATTCGTTTTTTAAACAAGTTGCCTGTTGAAATCATTTATGGCCATGCAGCCATATTTTGCAGTTGTCTTACTGCATTTGCTCTTGGCACCCAGGAGCATTAAAACCCAATTTAATTAGCCCTGGGATAAAGTAGCTTCCATGGGCAGTGTTAGCATAGGACTGCATTGTACTTATGTGTTTGTTTTTTTTCATTTAACATCTATCTTTAGAAATCCTGAAGTTATATGCAAGATGCTCTTCAGTAGCTAGTAATGTGCAAGATACTTAAAATAACCATGTAATATACAGAGCATTCCATTCCATCCCACTGAAAAAGTGGAGCAAAGAAGCAAATTAGATGGATAAGAGGTGCTGTCACTGATTAATTGCTGTTAAAATACAATAAAAATAGAAGCTATTAAAGCAAAATAAATTAATGTTTTGATATTGCATATTTGACCAGTAACCATATTTTTTTGTTTTGGACAAACAGTGATAGATTGTGCAGTAATCAATTATTCTAGATCAAGCATATTCAAATAATACATTGTGACATTCAGTAATTTGTTATTTGGAATAATTAGATGGTTACTTCATTGTAGTGCAGACAAGGCAGCTAATTTGTTTTTGATCTTTTTAGAAAGGAAAGACTTCATTTGTTCAATGGAGTTGCTCTTTTTAATTAAAAAAGGCTAGTTTTCTCATTTGCACTTTTATATGAAAGTTGGCTTATAAATATATAATAGTACATGCAAAACACTGACCAAAAATAAACATTCAGATTTTGATTGTTCACTGTTGGCTTTTTCAGTGAGGAAATGAAAGTTCTTTTGAACCCTGAATATCTGGAACACGATGCCTAGTAAGTTTAACAACTTTCTGTTGTCTTTACATTTCCTTTACTTCTGTTTGCAATACATTATTTAACATTAAATTTCCGGATTCTTTTTCCCCTTAGTGCGATGTTCACACATCTTATGGAAACTGCGGAACACTGGTTTTCAACTTTTGAGCATGACAGTCAGAAGGTAAATACTGTTGTAACAATACATTTATAGTACTGCAAGCAAATGTGATTTTTAACACAGTAAATTGAAATAAGTTTAGATTAACACTGTCTCTCTTAGCCAAGTTAAAAATAAACTCTTGGAAATTTCCTGTGCGTCTGGGCTGCCCTACTTGTGGGAAGTTGTTGGTTGAGTGCTTAGCTTTGTTGAGTGATAACTTTGAAATCTCAGTTCACATTGTTTGACGTGCAGTGTTGAGTATCATTATGCAGGACGAAGGGTTTTTGAACCCGAAAGCTTGCTTAATAACTATTCTCCAACTATTTGGGTTGGTCTAATAAAAGATATCAAATTCACCCAAGGAACCTTGTCTGCATTATGCAGACCAAGCATTTGAGTTTGTTCTGGGGAGATACTTCTGTTTTGCATGCATTTTTTGACCCAAGTAAGCTGTGAGTAGGTCCACTGCCTACCCAATTAGTAACTAGGGCTCCCTGAACTTAAATGTGTGTGAATGCCTAGTTAAATGGGTGTACAGGAGTTTTTAATGTATTTAAGGGCTTTATTTGCCTTTAATCATTTACAATATACAGGATTGCTGTGATTGTTAGACATTTGGTCATTTGCCACTGTATTATAAAATGGGATCTGCCAAAATTTCCATTCTTAGCTACACCAGTGAAGGGTAGTGGGTTTTTTTGTGTTGTTTTGTTACTTCAGTGCAGTTGGATCAGTGCGAATGTTTCTTCCCCAGCCCACCCTCAACCTCTTGACCATCCACAGCACTAATCGGCCATCTCAAGGTATTTCTTGTAAAGACCTACTTGGTCTGTTTGTTTTTCTGCATTGTCAAGTTGCTCCTTTTCATTGCAGCAAGTACTAGATGCCAATGGCATACCATTGTTCAGAGCTCACAACACAAGTCCTCATGGCTTTGTCTAAATACTTTTCAGAAAAGTGTCTCTAAAACTGAAATTCTGTTTTCGAACAGTAAGGTTTTGCTCAGGTACAACTATCTTCCTCATTTTCCTCATCAACATTGATTTCTTACTTGCTTCTACTTTCTGTAACTTCAGTGTTATTAACATTGCATTTCCCTGCTCCCACCTCCTTCCTCATACTGTAATTTGTCCCTGGTCAGAAAAGTCTGTCTCCACCTCTAGGACTGTACCTCTGTGTCATTACTAAAATCCTGATCTCTGTTCCCATCTCTTCTGTCTTCAGCTATTGTATTCCTTTCTGTTACCGTCACTTATTTCTTGGTTCTTCAGGCTCAACATGTATCAGGGATTTCTGTATATTTAATTGCCCTCACAATTAAACTCTCTTACCTCATTCCTCAGTTCCATTTGTTTTCTGATTCAGAAATCATCATTAGCAATCCCTCATAGTCAAGAATGATTGTTTTCCATGATTGCCTTATCTGTGGGCGTGAATATGGCTGACAAGGACAATCCAGGATTGACAAGTTCTATTGCAACTTGGGTGCATGTTTCTGTGCAGGGTGGGTGGCTCTGGATTCTTGGTTCAGTCCACGACATGCTATTTTTGCCACTCCTGCTTTTTCATCTCCTTTTGTCATCATGAGGTTTAAAAGTACAGAGATCCTTGCAGCCAGCTCTTCCTCCATTTGGGGAAGTCTTGGTTGATAATTTCCCACGAGTTGATGTTGCATCTTTTTTTCAAACTGGCTTTGAGGACGTTCTTGAAGTACTTTCTCTACCCTCCTCTTGAGCTGGGAGAATAAAACTTGCTTTGGTAGTCTGGAGTCAGACATCCAGATTACTTGGCATGGCCAGAAAAGTTGATATCAGATGATCATTGCCTCTACTCATAGTGTTTGCTTGAGAAAGGATGTTAACATTTGTGTGTGCATCTTCCCACTGGATTGAAAAGATCTCCTGCAAGCAGTTTTTATGGTACTTTTCTAGCGACTTGAGGTATCCCCTGTATGTTGTCCACATCTCAACTCTGTACATTAAGGTAGGGATCACGACTGCTTGATAAACCATGAGCTTGGTTTCAAATCTGATAACACAGTCTTTGAACACCTGGTTCCTCAGGCATCTGAAGGCTGCACTTGCATATTTGAGTCAATGTTGGATTTCTTCATCGATGTCAGCCTTCTGCAAGAGCTGACTTCCAAGGGACAGGAAATACTCAACATTCTCCAGAGTCTCACCATAAATCTTAATTACTGGAGCTGGACTGTTCATTAAGCGCTTGTTGATGGAAGACCTTAGTCTTCTGAATTGTAAGCATCAGTCCCATTTTCTTGTTTGCCTCAATAAAAACATCAAAGATGGCCTGAAGATCTGCTTCCAAGTGAGTGCACACATTACAATATCATCAGCATACTGGAGCTTGATGATTGAGGTTGGGGCAATCTTGGTTTTGGCTTAGAGTCAACTGAGATTACACCGCTTTACCTTCCATTTGGTAGTTTAGCTCCACTCAGAATGAAGCTTGTCAGTGGTCAGATGCAGCATCTTGACAAGGAATATTGAGAAGAGTATTGGAGCAATGATGTAGCCTTGCATAACCTCCAGTCTTTATCTCAAAGGAATCTGTGATAGATCTGTTGCTGAGATCCACTGCTCACATACAGTCATGATGAGGGGAAGAACAGTGGTGAATTTCAGTGGGTAGCTGTAGCTCAGCACAGGATTCAGAAATTTCAGAACCTTGATTGATCCTTTCCAGCCCAAAGTGCCTGATCTTTCTTTACTCTTCATGTAGCATTCTTTGCTCATGGACCACTGACTTAGTCCCCATTGTGACTTCACTTCCTTTATCCTCCTGTCACAGCCACTCTCCTTCTCTGCTCAAATCTAAGAACTACTAATCCTGCACTTAGATTTCAATCTTTATTCATTTCACTGTACAGTATTGTCTGTTTAAATCGTATTTTGGAATACAGTTCATATGAGGGAGAAAATGTAGTCATGCTGTGTATTATCCCAAATTCCTTACTGTACCATGGTCTATAAGGCCTGTACTCTAGTGTTGGTTCACTTGTTGTATTTCAGTCTTTAGCACATGAAAAGTCCCTACTGTTAATTGCCAGATGGTTCAAGATATGCACCTAAATCTATGTTCAGGTACCTAAATAAAGGGGTTGGTGCTTTAGAACAGTGAGAGCTAACCTTCCTGGTAGGTGTGCCACAAATTAGCCCACCCCTTCCCAGAGTGCTATTTGAATGCCCTTTGCCTGCATGATTTGCCGCTCTGCTTTCTGCTCCCTGTCCAGTGCTTCCTATCTGATCTGTACCTCTGCTTTCTTCTCCCTGCCCTGTCTGCTACTGTCTACCTATCTCCTTCCTGATCTGCTACAAGTCACAGAAAGAGGCTGCAGGTTGGCCACCTCTACTTTAGAAACAGCCCCATAAAAGCATCTATTGTATTTAAATGACTAAATATATTTTTAGGTTTAGGTTGACCAGTCAACTTAAATGTGGATTTTTACGTCATTGTCAAGAAATTGTGACAAAACAGGTGAATTATATCTTACTAACCCAAGACATAGTCATTTTTATATTATGTCTAATGCTGTGAGAAAGGGGGTTACAGGGGTTTGTGACTAGCCCTTGAGAACTCACCTTATTCCAGTGTATTTAATTACTTCAAAGCAGTAAACTAAGGTTGAATTTTACATTCTGAATAACTAAGTCAGTCTAGAGATTTACTATGCTTGAGTAGAAGGTAAAGGTTTACATTGTCTTTTCCATGTCTCTGGTGTAAATAATTAACGATGCATAGCATGTGGATTAATATGTCAGTGTTTGTTTTTTGTTCTTTTCAAAACATGTATAATCTTTAATAATCCTTTCTCCTGCTTCTGCCTTTTACAATAATGACTTTGAGGGTCGTCTGTGTAGTAAAGTTTGAAACTTCACAAATGAGGCAGAAGAAACATGTGCTATGAGATGCATGTTAAATTTTATAGCATCTAACAGTTGGTTCCATTACTCCCAATTGCTGTTAGTGGATAATCTTCACCTATTGCATTCCTTGGTGAGAAATCTAGCTATATTTCCTTCATTTCTACATCGTCCTACATTGTCCACTTTATTGCAGTATACTTTTTTCTTAAACACAGACATATATTAATTACATCAAGTCATACTTATTCACTAATATTTCCTATACAACCTTGTGTCATTTCATGGTATATATGTGTGGCAAGGGTTGGAGACCTTCTTCTTCATGATGGATCTAAAATTGATGCAGCTCTTAAATAATTGTACATGTTTGTTTGGGTGAATTCAATATAAAACAATCCAGAATATTTCTGAATTCCCATTTCTGGTGCACCCATTCCCTGTTGGATGTTTGTATTTGTATTTCATGATGGCTGAAACCTTGAACTTGTGAAATGCTTTTCAAAAAGCTAAAGAGGCAGTAGTCATGGGGGACCTAAACTACCCAGACATCTGTTGGGAGACGCAGACGGCAAAGTCCCACCGTTCACGCAGGTTTCTAACCTGTGTACAGGACCTCCACCTGACACAGGTGGTACACGGTCCCACTAGGGGGAATGCCTTACTGGATTTGGTATTGGCAACGGGGGATGACATGGTAGAGGACCTACAGATCAGTAGCCGTCTGGGGGACAGTGATCACCTAATAAAGAATTCTTCATAAGATGTCGAGTGGGTAAGGTAACTAGTAGGGTGAAAGTGCTAGACTTTAGGAAAGCTGATTTCAATGAACTCAGGCGATTAGTCAAGGACGCACTGCAGAGTAGGAGTTTTGAAGTGATGGGAGCCCAAGAAGGGTGGCTGTGCCTTAAGGAAACGATCCTTC